ATTTTACGGAGACTTGCCACGGTCTCGAACCCTGCTCCTTTCTTATCCGGGCTTGGGACCGGCCATGGCGGAGTTTAAATATGTTTTATTTAAACTAAATTAAACGGATTGATGCCTGAAGGAGCACTGATCCCAATCCCGAGCATGATGTGCAACGATCCTGGATTACATGGCGATGAACAAAATTCGGCCGTCAATTTGGTATGGCTACAGAGTTTTGCACGAATCAGATTGAATAGTTGTGACTATTGTACAGGTAAGTTTGATCCCGATGCACGCTGCTGAAAAGAGCTTTCTAAGGCGAATCGCCTGGCTCACATATATCGACAAGATCCAGAATACACATATCTGAGGAAATGTGTTGGTATATGGCTACTGATTTTCCAATTGAAAAGTCGCAGCTGCGATGGTTTTTGCACGTTTTGCGAACGCATCCAAAGGGAAAAAAACAGTTATTAATTTCCCAACCGACCGGGGAAAGGTCGTACAAAATTATGAAAAGGGAAATCATATCGAAGCGTTCTGTTCCAGATTTCGGTTGTCTTCTGCCGAAACCGAAAGGTGATACAGGTTCTGGAACGCTGGAGATACTGTCTACCTTTTCGAACGGAAAAGCGGTTATCGAATCTGTGTGAATGTGAAATAAATTGTGACGAATATGACTTTCAACAGCTAACATGCACATTTGCACAGGGGTGTGAAAACTACGTATTTGAAATTAAGGCACATGCCCAAACTGCGGCATTATTCCCACAAAATAGCTGTATTTCTGATGAAGGGACGCGCTTTACGGAATTTTAAAACCCCACGGTGTTCAATCACTTTCCAACAAAATTACTTTTGTCGGTTATGAGTTTTATTGACGCCTGCTAAACTGTTTTGTAGGATTTGTATCAGCGTGTGTTTCATCCTAGTCACTTAATTGACGTTGAACAGATCTTAACTGATACCCACGAGAAATAGAGAACCCTTGCCGCCGTAAAGCACAGAAATACTTATAGAGTGGTATGCTCGTATTGTGAAATTAATATCAGAACGCAATTATCGCAATCGAAGCAAACGGATACCCCAAGACAAATGGCGCATTTCCATTTTGGAACACATTAATATTACAAAGTTTTGGTCTTTAAGATCTGTTTTAGTCTACAAGGCGGTAATCAGTTATGCAAATTATTGTAAATAACTATAGCAATGACGTTGTTATCATCTGTGTGGAGCAACTACATCGTTATTAAAAGCAGCCTGTATCGAAGTAGTGACGTAGCGTTTCGGTAAACGGTTGTAGTGTTGAAATCGCATTTTCTCATTTGCGACGACCTTCATATTTGGCATATTTTCTTGCTGAAACATGACTATCAGATTGAAACATGTTACGGCAAGCACACTGATAATAGCATCATTTCAGGGTAAAACTTTCAAATAATAAACAATAGCATAAATATATACATGACTAACGAATAAATTAACATATTCCCTAACAATGAATAACACATAAGCTATAGCGTGGCAGCAGACGGAAACGTAGTGTGCAAAATCACACAACATAGATCAACGACTATACACAGCCGTACTCATACCAGATCGTGTTTTCTTTGTTATGCTCGCATTCGCGTAACACTTCGGTCAACGTATCCTCGGGAGAAAAGTCGGCGATGGGCTGGGTGTCAACGGAATGAAGATTCTCATAATAACTCGGCACAGAACTACGTCGTCTAGCGAAACTCGATGGCCTGAGGGAAACGGCGGATGCCGTGTCCGCCTTCGCCCCTACCTCTGGGTCGGCTTCCTGGCTGGCCACCCGCGTCGCAGCGGCGGCGGTGGCCGCCGACGACCGGGATGAAGTGGCCGACGAACTGACCAGCGAATTGTTGCCCGGATGAAGTACAACCGAACTGGAGGTGAAGCTCTCGTCAGACTTTGGCGTCGACGCCTGCTGCGGTTTGAATGTCACGGGACTATGGTTGGAGGTCTTGCTCTCGTAGTCCATCGACGAACAAGTGTCAAGTTCTTCACCGTGATGCAACTCGTTTTCGGCCAGGTCTGGTCGGAAACGTTCTAGATTGGTCGGGAAGACTTTGGG